AGTTGCATCTTGGCCAAATATTGTCCTATCATAACAAACCTTACATCAATGAAAAGCTTATTTGTTCAGCTTTCCGATGATGTATAAATCTCAATTTCGAAAAATTGACCCTTATGACTGACTGGTTTTGTGGTCCAGGGTCACATTTGCAGAAAAAAATGTTAATATATTAAAAAAGCCACATGGAAAATGTGTGCGTGATGACACAAATGAAAAGCTAAAGCAGAGTTTTCAAATATTTTACTCTAATACCATTTGTGCTGAAGGCTACAGTCTTCCTGAGAAAAGGAAGAATCGTGAAACTAATCAAGTACATGCTCACAGTCAAATAAAAAGCGCATTTACAGTAAATGTTCGTAATATTCACATATCTATTGTGAATATTCAATATATATCGCCCAGCCCTAAAACAGAACATATAATGAGTCAGTAGAAGAGAGTAGAGGTCTCACCCGGCCACAAGTGCTATTGCTGTTACAACACCAACTGCAATCAGTCCCGCACAACAGGGCTGAGATTCTGATGAGACACAAGACATTAAAACCAGCTGCAGATAAGCTGACTGACATTACTAGGAACCATATGCTGCGTGTAACATCACTTTATTACAAAAAAAATAAAAAATTCAATAAACACTGCGTTACAAAAGATTTAAAAATCAACAAACAGAAGAACTGTGATTTTATGCCAAATTCTAAGCAGATTTAATCCTACTTTACAACTTTTTTAACTAGTACTGTTCCAGAATTGGTATGTGTGAACAGTAAGATATATATTGAAAACCTTTGCCCATCAACATCAAACTATTTTGGGAAGATTTGATGAAAGCACTAGGATGAATATGAAAGTACATCTTCTACAAAATTCAAAACGGTAGAAAATCTGTTGGACAGAAACTAAAAGCATCAATGTCATTGTGCATGACCGGAATAAATCAGAGGGAAAACATCATTCAAGTTAAAAGCTAAAATGTAGGTAAACTTTTGAGCTGCTGGTGGCACTAGAGGGTTTGAGAAAGAGACCCCAAATTTGGCAGAGAAAATCATCTCCATCATTAAGACGCATTTCATTTCAAACTGTCACGTTCAGATAAAATACAAGTTCTCTATCCATAATATTGCTTTCTCCAGTGAAAAAGTGGTCTGGTCTGAATCAGGAGAGAAATCTGCACAGATCAAGCACCGTTTACATGAGAAAACGGCTCTAAACAAATATGTGGCTGGATTTTGATGTGAGAGACAACAGGAGATGGACTTTTTTTATCAGCTGTTTGGACTCTCATTCTGACGGCACCCATTCACTGCAGAGCATCCATTGCTGAGACACTGATGCAATGCTACATTTCTCTAAACTTGATGAAGAAACAAACTCATCTACATCTTTGATGGCCTCAGGGTGAGTACACATTCTGCAAATTTTCATTTTTGGGTGAACTATTCCTTTAACTAAAGTTAACTAATGGGAAGTTATTGTAAAGTGTTACCTTTTTTTTTCTTTCTTTCTTTAGATGTTTTTGCATTGTGTGGTGAACATTTTGAAGTGAAAAGTGACTTTTTTCACCTAAATATAAAAAAATGACACATTCTTGATATTGAACAATACCTTTTGGTATTTCATAATGCGTTGTGAGTGTCCCCAGGCTGCTCTTGATGATGCAGGTGTAATTAACACCCTTAACCTCAGAGATATCTAGTCTACTGCCGTCTGCTAACAGGGCGGATTGATTGGTTACTGTAACGCCATCAACCAGCCATGAAAACTGAGGGCTGTCCCACTGCGTCACGCCATGATTATCCACAACACACTCCAGCACACGTGTAATTGACGCCTTTGGAGGTTCCACTGAAAAGACAAGAAAAAGAATGTAAGAAAAACCATCCTGTTCAACTAGTTTCTTTGAGTTTTGCACGACATGCTGCCTTAGAATTGAAATAGCTGTGCATGAGAAGAAAATATGCAAAACTTCTGGTGCACAGGTCAGTCGTGAAACAACATCTGCACAGTTAAAATGAAACCTATTCACCTATCTTTCGTACTTCTATGGAGTCTTGCTGCTGGTATCCGTTACTGTCTGTCACGATGACGGTGTAGATCGCAAAGTCCCCTTCTGCAACATCAGTGACCCGCAGAAGTGCATCTCCTTTCTCCAAAGATATTCTGTTTCCATGTGACAGTCTGACATTGTCCCTTCCTCTCTCGCGGTCCCACGTCACCATGTCTATTTTGTCGTCTGGATCCTTCTCGAATACGGCTTCCAAAACAAGAGTTTGGCCGAGTGCCACATAGAGAGGCCGTCCAGCCTTAAAGCGGACTGATATTGCTCCATGAAGACACACAGGCACTGATGACGGTTATTTGAAAATAATTAATATGTTGTTCTTATTTCACTGTACATAAAGGGTTGAGTGAGTAGCCAGAAAGGCATGAACAAATTAAACAACTGACTGGTAACTATTTATGTTTTCACTTTTAATGAAAAATGCATGTAAAATAATGGTAATTCAATAATTTTTTTATGTGATTTGGAGTCGTTTTAGGAGCTAAAAGAAGTATTTATAATTATCTCAGAATGATGAAATGGATTTTGTCACTCCAAAGGACTCAATATTGGTGAAAATAAAATAATAAAGTTTTTTTTTTTACATTTTAGAAAATGCAATATAATATTTAAACAGCATTTTTATTTACACTGTTTATTTTCATATATTTTCTGTACTGATATAATTTCCATATTTACACTTTAATTTATACTTTAACATTTTACTCTATTTTAAGATTTATTGTTTTGTGAACAAGAGTAGTGTTCTTTGTGTAAATCTATTAGGGAGAAACAGATCGATCATGTTTATTTAGATATTATTTTATTTTGTAAACAGGGGATCATTAGAAGGATTTTCAGAAGATTTAGAAACTAGTTTTGTCACTCCAAAGGACTCAATAATTGGTGAAAAAATAGTATAAACTTTTTTTCCTATTCATAAATCATTTTTGAAAATGCATTCAGATATTTAAATAGCATTGTTTATCTATACACTCTCAGAAATAAAGGTACAAAAGCAGTCACTGGGGTGGTACCTTTACAAAAGTTACACGTTTGTACCTAAAGTGTCCATTTTGGTACCTTAAAGCTACATATTAGTACTTAAAGTGAACATATTAGGTAAAAACAAGTGTTATTTCTGAGAGAGTATTTTCTGTATTGATATAATTCCCATTTTTGCTTGAACAATTTTAATAGACTTATGTTTGTGGACAAAACTAGTTTTCTTTCGCTGCCCAGCAAAATAATCAAACAAACAGATTAGACTCGCCTATGAAGTAATATTTACATGCAGTGTCGAACTGCCCAAGCAGCTCTTACAGTTAAGATTTCATTGAATAACAGCAGACTCACTCAGAGTGACTGTGCTACACAGAATCCAAACCAGCATCCATGACCGCATGACACCTGACAAATAGCAGATCGTTAGAGGGACTCATACTCTTTCTAATTAACTCATAGGAAACTGACTGGATGCACTTTTGTGACGAACGTTAATCAGCTCCAAATAAACGATCTTACCTTGACTTTCGAAGCCTAAATTCCGCGTCGTATCGCAATAGGTTCAGGAAAACAATACCTGCTTATCGTCTGACTACTACACGTGAACAGGTGCGTTTGACAGTACTTGACGTGACGTCATTATGACACACTGTAAAATATTTAAATTTATGACATATTGTATCAAATTCATTTAATTTGATTTTAATGATGAGTAGACTTGAAAAATATATTGTAGTAATAAAAAAAAGTTATAATGTATTGTTTTTGTTCATGAGGAAGTAGCAAACAAATCCTTATCCAAAAGTTCATTTTGGAATATATTCATTGGAATATGTACAAATTCAAAATTCTTTATTGTAAGTTTATTGTAGAGACTTTCAGTGTTGGGGAAAGTTACTTTTAAAAGTAATGCATTACAATATTGCATTACTCCATAAAAAAAGTAACTAATTACGCTACCTAGTTACTTTTTATGGAAAGTAATGCGTTACGTTACTTTTGCGTTACTTTCAAAATCACCAGGCTGAAGGAAGTACCTCTGCGTGTGCACCTCACTCAGTGTTTCTCTCAACACGGAATCAGGAGACGTGTCAGTGAATAAAAGGGAAAACAAAGTATCTTGCATTATTTGTTTGAAAAAGTAATTCAGATATTTCATTGTAAATTTACAAAAAAGTAATGACTTTACTAGTTACTTGAAAAAAGTAATCTGATTACGTAACTCGCGTTACTTGTAATGCGTTACCCCCAACACTGGAGACTTTTTATAATGTATTTTTTTTAATATTTTATTAACAAATTTCTAATATATATATATATATATATATATTTCTTCTTCTAACTATGACTGACACGCTCGAATCTGCTGAAGAGATATTTTGAAGTGGGCGTGATCTGTGGTTTAGTCTGGCAGGAGGTAAACATGAGAGCTCTGGTGTGATTTGTAGGAATTAATCAATTAAGTAGCCTAACTTTTTGTAAATCCGTCGAGGTAAAACAGCCGTCGCGTTTATTTCTACATTACTTCATTTTCTGTATTAGCAAAAGACATCGTTTCATTCTTTCTCCGCTGTTGTGATGATGCGGTGAGGTGAGGCGAGGCGTCGGACAGGTAAACCAGGAAGTGAAAGCCACGATCGCCATAGACGCATTTAAAAACACGAAAATGAAAAGCAAAATAAGTCTGCTTAGTAAGTATATATAACAGATTGAATACAATCTATAACGGGCTTGCGTACTGAATGTAGCCTGCTGTTAATATACATTCCCATATGAGACGGTGATTGATGTCAGTATCTCTTTTAATTTGACAGCATGTCTTTTAATATGATTTATATGCTTTAATATGTGATAGAATTAAGCATCTGGAAACTAATTGAATGTTTTTGCTCAGGTCCTCCAGACTGACATGAACATACTGCTGCATCCTGTTGTTGTGGTTTTCTCATTGATAAGTAAGTTTAGCCTCTTTAACCTGTCAAGAATGTCAGATGTGATTCTGTAGAAGACACACAGGCGAATATTACAGTAGTATGTCTAAATTAGATAAAACAGCAAACAACAATAATAGGCTAGTTTATTTGTCACTGTGAAAATAGATTTGTATGATGATGTGAATGTTATAAACATCTTAAAGACATTCTCTAAATATATATATCTGACTGGAAATGTAAGAAATATGCATCTACAAACCTGAAAAATACATCTTCCTGATGAAAACACACACATCAAATAGACATCTACACGATGCACATGTGATATCAGGATACTTTCTTACTAAATATAAAACTTCAGCTGAAACAAATGCAACATGCAATAGATAACTGATGCAAAAATAAATAAATAAATACATATATAAATAAATTTGGCCCATATATGTTAACTAGAGGTAGGCTAATAGTACAAATTCCATTTTCATATAAAAAAAATGATGTGAAAACAATTAAGTTATATAATGACCGACACCTTATTGTGTTCAAAACACTTGCTGAAGAATAAAAAAAATAACACAGACAGATGCAAGACATATATTAAAGGTTAAGTACGTAGATAGTAGTTTTACTCGTTTTACAGCATTCCCCGTTTTGTTTGAAGTGCTATTTCAAGCTGTTTTACGCACATGATTTGCGTGTCTCTTCTTGCCACACCTATTTGAATGCAACATTCATTTCTCTCATTCAGATGCATTCACATTTATACTTTCTTTGTGTCTGTGTGGTTGTAAAACGGGTTTTCAATTTACTAAGTCATTGAGCAAAAAAGATACAGCATTTCAATAGCATCAAATAACACTTGCTTTGATATATATATATATTTTTTGGTTATCTAATGCAAATACATTTTGAAGTGCGATGGAACTGAACAAATAGCTCATTGAAATGTTGAAGCAGCTTTCACTTTCTTTACATGCAACTCTCCATAGGTTTGCCTTTGGTCGTTGTGTGTCTGGATCTTGTTCCAGTCCAGTTCGAGAAGACACCGGTGCTGGTGGCATCAGGGAGAGATGCCGTCTTTACAGTACAGACGGTGTCTGATGTGTCCCTCATCAGATGGAGCGATAGCACAGCGACTACGCTGGCGATGTGGGCGAACGGGAGCCCGGTCGTAATGTCCGTCCAGCAGTACCAGGGCAGAATCTCTGTCACCGCCACTCAGCTCAAAATCACCAACAGCCAGATCCGTGATTCTGGAAACTACAGCGTCTCGGTCGAACCCTCGTCTACCACTGGACTCAGTGTGAACACCCGTACAGTGCCGCTCAAGGTCTTTGGTATGATCAAACGATGCTGCATATGCCCACAATGCTCAAATAACAACTTTTGTGTTGCAGGTCAAATAGATCCGCATTGGTTTCCATGCAGTTTGGCAGAAATCGGCGGTTTAAAAACACTGAAGATTTATGTTAAAACAGAAAACATCTATTGTAGCTTGTCTGAGGCTTAAAAATATAAAATATGTGAGAATAATAATTTTCTATTCTATAATTTCTATTGTTTTATTTCTGTTTTGTTAGGGGTCACTTATTTTTATGTTCAAAATTAGTTGCACAGACACAAAATAATTGAAAAA